AGAGAGAGAGAGAGAGAGAGAGAGAGAGAGAGAGAGAGAGAGAGAAGGATTGATATGAAAGGAGCGGAAGAGAGACGCTGCTGGAGACCTTGGGAGTGCAACGAGACGCCAGGCGTCCTTCGGACGATGGAGGACCTTCGATATAGTCGGCCCATTTTAGCGCAGAGTGCGTCAGCCCCCTCTCCAAGGATATACGTCGCAAATTCGGCCGGAGAATAAGTATGACATAACGCGCGGAATGCATAATGCATGGAACGAGCGATTTCGCACCCGAGGTGCGAGTCTTCCTTCGTCCGAGAGAATGTACAATTGTATTTCGTTCGTCATTATCGAGCGCTTTATTGGAAGAATAATCGATATTTCTTGTGTTCATCAGACGCGGAAAATTGTCTTCAAATATTTCCTCTCTCTCTCTCTCTCTCTCTCTCTCTCTCTCTCTCTCTCTCTCTTTAATTAATTTTCCAGCTGATTAATTAATAATTTATTATTAATTGATTTAATAAATAGAGAAATGGGGAAAGCATTTCCACACTCTGCAGCCGGTTTGATGTCACACTCAAATAAAAGACGGTACGCGCGTCTCTCAGCGTGAAGTCTTAAAAAACTATTCGTTCTCTTCTCTATCTTTTTACCAAAGAGACTCGTCACTTCGTTGCACAATCAACGCTTCCTGTGACTTTATTTCGCATGTGAAAGAAGAAACTACGTGAGTAAGTGCGAAGAATAAAGTCCGCATAAAGAGAAGAAAGAACAAAATAAGCGTTATTCGCTCTGAACGGTATATCCGTGATATATTACGGTAATCGCGTCATTACTGCAATAACGTTTCGATTACCCTCTCAGTTTTCTTTTTTAGTAACGTATTTCCTCGCGAGCTCCGTTACCAGCGCGCTTCCTTAATCGACTTCGTTCTCCTTTACGCCGGCTCGTAATGACCTCTCGATTGCCGCGTTTATCGTAGCACGTGTAGACGCACGCGCACCATCAAAGCCCAAACCCTATTCTCTTCTTGTGGACGACGTCTGGCCGGAGTCTGGCCGGAGTCATTCTCCGACAGCTCCGGCGCGAGGAATCTCGTCTCGTCTCGCCACGCGCGAGAAACCTTCGCTTTTAGGCGCCGTGACGCTTTCTCCTTTTTATTTTCTGCCAGGAAGAACGAGAAGGTACAAGAAGAGAAAGAGCGAGAGTGGGTGCGTGAGTGTGTGTACGCTGTGGGAGAGAAAGGAAGAGAAAAAGAGTGGTGGGAGAGAGAGAGAGAGAGAGAGATGGAGAGAGGGAGAAGAGAGATGCGCGTGCATACAAAATTGCGTTACAATTACTCGCCGCTATTGAAATCACTCGAACGACCTCGACCCCCTTTCCTTCGTCGTCTTCTTCTTGCTCTTCTTTTTCTTCTTCGACTTTTTACGACCTACGGATTGACGATTACTGTGTGGTGAGCCACCAATCGCATCTCTCTCTTTTTCTCTTTCTCTCTCTCTCTTTCTTGCCCCTTTTTATTCATTTTTTTTCTCCTCACTTCTTGATCTCCTTCATGCGCGTGTCTCTCGCGCGGAATTGTTTGCCTCGTGGCACATTTTCTTTTTTTTCAACCGTACACGCGCGTATCGAGTGCACCCGAACGTCAAAAGAATGTATCCAGTTAAAACTGAGTGTTCCTCGTCAATTTCAGAAAAAATTATTACTCGTTGAATTCGGACGATTACAGAATTGCCAGACATTCACAATTGATCAGGATTATTGGGTGACGCCACATTGGTACGGGAAATCACGTAGAATAACTTCTCGCAACTTTTCATGCAGCCGAAAACTAGCCAAAGTTTCGATGTTACCTAATACTCGCGCTTGAATAAAACTCGAATATCATTTGACTCAATATCCGCGACTTTGATAAGTACGTCGTGAGGAAGATCGCAAACTCGCAAATATCCCCGGACATACACCTTTGTGGTCTCTCAAGAAACGCGAGTCTCTCGCTCTATGTTACGACGAAATTTCTCGCAGGAAGATATGAGCGGATGAATGAAAGCGATTGCGAATTACCTCAGCTGAGTCGTATGTGTCTTATCTGATTCGCGAGCGCGGTTGCGCCGAAAGGCCGCGCAAGGCGCAACAGTTAACACGTGTCTGCCCTCAATATCGGATGCACTCTGTGCGCGAATTGCCTGTGTGAATTTTTGTTGGCGCCAAGGCCGCGTCGTTATCTCGAGAGGATTTACCAGTTCGGCAATGTAGATAGGCCGGAAAAATTCGTCGCTGATCTGCGGAATACCCGTGGCGCGATTGAGATACCGATCGGTCAATTTGAGTTCAAGTCGTTAAAGCGAAAGGATTGCTTGCAAGCCATAATTAAAATTCGCAACTACAGAAATGAGAAAGTTTGAGAAACGCGCGTGTTTCTTTAGGTCCATTCGATGCGTGATGTAAGAACGCTGTGGCGTCCGACTTATTAATCGAGAAGACACTTTGTGCTTCAGTGCGTCAAGTGTATGCAGATGTTTCTTTTTTCAAACTGAAGCAAACATACGGCGTAATATTTTCATTGTGTTGTCGATATTCTTTCTCGCGCACGTGCTACAACATTCCTCGTTCTCATATCGTGCGATCTCTCTTCGCGCGATCGCGCGCGACATATCAAACTTCAACTTTCAAATTTCAAGATCTCTCTGATCGAAATTAAACACAAAAAGAAAAAAAGATAAGAAACAATTGCGAGTCTAATTTGCATGTATTTATAAAAAATGTTTTCTTTCCTTCTCAATTTTCTCTTCCTTCTTACATTTACGACTGACTTTGTACATATCATTGACATGTACGTCAACCACGACAAAAATATCTCCCATTTTTGTCGTATAATTTTTGTTTTATCTTTAATCTTCGTTTTATAATTTAACACCATGTTCTCCAAATGACTGCTTTCAATTGAAATTGTTTCCGGGTGTGCAAAGTGTTTCCACGTCATCGATAAATTAATACGACGTATTATATCATAATAAATAAAATTGTCAAGTTGATTACCTTATAATTTCCATCTCATTTACAATCTATCAATGACGATGTATTATCGCGATAGTCTTTCTTTGAAAATCCTCAGAGTGATCTACCGAGAGGATAGATCCATTCGAAGCTCCTGCTTCGATACGTTTTTTGAATGTATGTTGAAACATTTAGCATGTATCCGTCTAGAAGAGTCTGATGAGAACCGTTTCGGTATTAGTAAACGTTTGTAAACGGATTCCGTGACTCGTATATACGTATATTTGACAACAATATAAATAACTGTTTACACGAGTAGTCTTGCGAAGAAAAAAGCGTCTGCACGCGGTGTGATGTCACTGCTGGTTGTTGTTCTTCTTGCCTCGCACGATTGCCAGAAAAAACTAATGACTCCTATTTCCATTTAAAGGCGCGTAAACGGATAAACGGATTAACGGAGAGTTAGTAGACAGATATAAGTTTTCAGAAGCACGTGTAATCGCGATTATCTTATTATACGTGTCTATAAAAGTATATACTGAACACACACATGAATATTTTTCCTTTTGAACGTGCGATATGAAGCTCTAGTATCTATCCAGAATGATTCTTTCCGTACAGTCACTGCTTATTTTATAACTTTTAACGACAACGTCGTTCTCGTTAAACGTTGTCGCGCAACTATTATATTATGCGTTATATCTATGCGACGACGCATAAAACACACGCATTACAGTTAGAACGTATGCATTCTTTAAAAGATTACAGACCAAACTTGTCCGCTGCACGTCCGTCAACAAGTCCGTCTTAAGGTGCGAAGTTTTTTTTTTGAGTTTTTCTTACATTATACACAATTCACTCCTCTGTTCATGACCATTAGATACTTGTAACGTTGTAATTTCGGTTGAGGACGGCCATAATACATAGTTGAAACTATGGTTTTGATATTAGAGCAATTTACACCCGCGTGCGAATCAGATTTGCAATTGGCTCTTATCGTCCTTTCCTTCCTTACGAGTTCAACGAGTAAGTATCGAGAACGTACTTGTTGCGAAGTCCAACAACGTCTCCTTCCGATTTTCCCGACGATAACATAGTTCACGCGGCAATTTACGCGAACTATCGCGAGCAAGTTACGCGCGCATAGATTAACTGTCAACAATTGTCACGGCCAAGCACTTGACGGATTTCCATTTGACAGTTGGCTTACCTTCTGTCGAGCAGTTGAGTTGATACGCGTTGCCGATGATGGGCAGCGCGGTAGGATACGGCACGTTCCTCAGGGCGTACAGAAATTTCCCACGTTGCATCAGCAACACCAGTATAGCCGACAGTACGGAGAAAAACAGCAACGTAGTGATCCAGGAGTTCGTCAGGACGGACGAGGCGTCGACGAACATTTTGAACGTTGAAGATCAACAGGTACCGTGTTCGATTATCTCGATACTTTCACCCCCGCCGTGCCTCCCGCGCGGTTACTTCCTGCACGGATCTCCCTTGCGTGACGATCCTTCGCACGACGATCCTTCCCTTGGGGAGAGATCTCAAGGATCGAGGTCTCGAAATCAGGCGCGGTGTAACGATAAGAGACCCGACGTGTGTCTCCCGTCGCGGAAACCTACGTACTCGCGAGCGATCGCGCAGCGAGACACGAGAGAGCCGGTTCTAGTCTGAAGTCACCGGTGTTCCGTGCAAAGGATGTGATGTGCGAACGCGTGCGAGCGTACGACGACCGTTATATAAGATTCGGAAGGTGGTGGTGTTCTCGCGCGAGAGCGTGACTCGCGCGAAGAAGCGTCGTAGGGGCGGCAAAGAGTGTGTGCTGTCGCGCGCTGACGGTCACACCAAGTATGATCGGCGGATAATCCTGCACCGTGAGAGCTGCTGCCTGCACCCGTCTCTCGTCCAGTGTGCGGTGTATCACGCGGTGACTCCCTGCGGTTAATGCGTGACCGTGCGAAGAGAGATGCCCTTATATACTACTGAATGCCCGGTGTACCAGGCCACCACCAATAGAGAGACTTATGTGTGTGGGACGTGCACACGTACGTGTACGTATATACCAGCACGCGCGCACACGTGCCTCGTGGCCACGTGTTTGTGTGTGTGTGTTTCGCGCGCGCGTGTGGGTGGGGTGGGTGAGCGGTTGGATAGGTATTTGTGTGTGTTTGTGTGAACGTGTACGATTGTGTGAACAACTCGCGACAACACACACAGAGACACAAAAACACATACATACACTGCACCGATTTGCATTAATACACGAAGATACACGAAGATGCTCGTTTGATATCAGACGCCCTCTCTGCGCTTGATTGACTCCTTCGTGGATACGGAATATGCAATAACGCGTGCACAGGCCAGTGGAAAACAACAGGGCTGGTGGGTCAACCATCTGCCGTGACTGCTATTTGTGTGTCTATTATCCTCAGGGAGAGAGAAGCGGTGGGTCGAATACCTGACGCGGCACAGGTCGTCCTGCGCGGCTCCTGATCTGCAGGATTCGTATCGTATACACCCGGTACCCTCTTCAACCTCACCTTCGAGGGAGCAACGCTTGACGCTCTCATTCCTCGTCCTCGCTGGTTGCAACGATATCATGCTTGGATCTGTTCCGTTCAAGATTCTTAAGATAGCTCCCCTGCCATGCGAAGTCTATTGGTTTCCGCTCAATTTTCAAGAACGAACTGCTGCCCGATCGCCGAAGACCAAGATTTTATATATATCCGCGAATATACAATGGCTTCATCGTATTTATCAGACATGCTTAATCGGCCAGAAGAGTAAGGAAGAGTGAGAGGGAAGAGAAGGACCTTTGATAACACGCAACACGTAATATATAACATTGTAAAATGATATAGCACGCCATATCGTGGCAATGGCTTACATCGGACCGCCTTATCTACATAAATGTTCATATCAAAATCTGCACTATATATATTGAAAAAATTCCTTCCTTCTTTTTTTCACCAGATTTTTTTCAGCAGATTTTGTTGCGAAAAAAACACTGATGACACGCACTCCCGGCGATTTCTTTACGCGAGATAATCGGCGGAAAAATAAAAGGAACGATTACGAGTCGGAGCACAAAGTTCTCTCCACGCGCGGCTTTATTTAATCGCGGAGTACGCCGCGATTGTCAAGTATCGCGAGAATATCGTTTCGCAGATACCAAAGAAGGGGTGGCTCGGCCCGCGATACAGCTAAAACTGTCCGCGTTGATTTATGCCAATTGTCTTATTGCCGTAAAAAACGAGCCTAGTTAGTTATTTAGAAAATGATGCAACGCGCGCGTGCAACACACCGTCACGCTGCTGCTAAATTTCGCACTTGGCGCGGATTACTTTCCTTTCCCTCCAATTTCTCTTCACGTTCTTTATTTTATCCATTATTCATGGCTCATTAATCGTGAGGCAACTCGATTCAACTTTTATAGATGTGTCCATACACAAGCACTCACACACTTACTCACGCGCATGCATACGTTTGGACGAAATATTTTCTTAACAGACTGGTCATCGGAATTTCTTTGTTTGTTTGCAGTCGACCGAATATTTTTCCACACCTCTATTAGTTCACCATTAGCTCACCATTAGCTGCAATTTCCTCAACATTTGGTGACAAATATGTGATTCCTCTTTTCTTTTTTCGTACGTGTTGCAAACCGACCTACTAAATACTCATTCCGTTACAGAAACAAGCAATCCTAATACACAGTTGCATTCTTGCGATATCTTCTTAAAATCAACTGATCAACTCTCTCACATGTCTCGCTATGTCATATGGACATTGAATACTTGATTTAATTCGTTTCTGCTTGATTTATGTGCATGTGTGTGATTGATGTATTATTTATCATTATTCTCTTTTTATTTTTTTTTTATTTGTACACTTTTTTATATATCATCCGTGTATATCAACACCCATGTTTATTGATACTTGCTAAATTCAAATGTATGTTTACTTTATTCATTCATTCTGATCTTGTTTATGTATTATTTATATATTGCTTCGCTTAATTTTTCCAAAAAAATGCACTTTTCCAATTCTAAATTCTAAATATATTTACTTCAAACATTTCAGGCACTTTTATAATATATTTCTTCCGATATGGAAAGTGTAGCACTTTCCTACTCCGGTTGAATAATTGAATAAATAAGTTAAGATGATTCTTCTAATGTGTGAAACAAATAAATCAATAATAAATGTGTTACAGCGAATATATCGTGAATCGACGAAATAATATCCGTCGAATCGACGCGATTTGCACATTCTGATCATTTACTTCGCTCTGCGCGTACGAAAAAGAGTCGCTTCGTCGTGCACCTTGATCTCAAAGTATGCTCTTCTTTTGCCGCCGAAAATATATATGAAAAAAATGATAACAATGTGTGACTCAGCCGATGTATCGTTCGCCTTTATCACACGCTGCACCTTTATCTTCAATATTCTGACGGATGCGTGAAAAATAAGCCATGTCCGCTCGCTACTTCTCCGGGCATTCGGAGATGAGCGCTTTCCGTCGTCGCTCTCGATTCTGCATCACGATCTGTTTTTCATGATCGATCGCAAACGCGCGGCAAAAAGTGGCGCCAATAATTCTCCCATTTATCGTCATCGACGCGTGGCGCACGGATACTCCGAAAATGCGACCGAAATATCGGAGAGGCGGGTGTGCCCACATCTCCATTCTCGTATCTTTCCTACGTCAGCGTGCGAAACATAACAACCCAGCTGGCGAAATGACCAAGACTTTGTGATGAAAAGAGAGAAATTTTTCACTGTTCCACGGGAACGAACGCAACTACGATGAAATATTTGGGTCATTTGGGAAAACACTCAAGTAGATGCTGATAGGATGGACGTGGGCACGCGACTTGAAAATATCATCCCCTCTCAGGCTGAAAATTTTTTTCGCCACATCCTCCTCTTCTCCGACGGAGAGATGAAAGCACTTTGCGCCTATCGAGCAAATTCGATCGATTAATATTACACGTTTGATAAAATCTTTTCTCAGTACTCGTCTACTCGAAGGTCACTTAGTCTTATCTCTCACCGTCTTAATTATCCCGTTGGTTTCACATATTTTTACAATCGTATGTATAATATCTTCCCCTCTTCTTTTTTCTACGAGAATCATACTACCGCTATTAATTGAATACGTCGATTGAAAGACGTCACTGTAGTGTCTCTGGGACGTAAGGAATCGATAATCGATTCCAAGAGACACAGAGAAAGAATGAGCGAATGAATGAATGAACGAATAGAGCGTTTGTTAATCTCTTAGAGCAAACTTTCTGAAGGCACATGTCGCATATTGTTTTTCCGTATTCAAAAGATATCGGCAATTCCAGTTCGTGATGAAGGAACGCGCGAATCCGAAGAAACTCGCGCCTTTTCCATTCGTACTACCCGCAAATCGATCTCTCCCGTTCTCTCTACCGATCCGTTTCCCAACGAAGCTTCCTCGCGCAAGTTCTGACGCACCTAGAGGGAGAGCATCGACACAACTGATCGCATTCGAAGAGCCCGATTCCAAAATCGTACACTCGCAATCGCAGACGGTGGTTCCTTTATCGACACGTGCGTGGTTTCTCTCCTCATGACCTCGGGCCTCCTTCTGTCCACTTTCGTTCGGGTCAGTCGCCTGACGGCGCGAATCGTGCCGGCGCACGCGAGATTGCCGATGAAGTCCTCGGCGCCCTTTCCCCGCGAACGTCGAATGACGTCAGGACGAGGACATCGCTGCGATATCGCCACGTGTCGCGAGAGACGCGACCGAAATCGCAACGCGACGCGACGCGACGTGACACGAGGCGACGCAGTGTGAAAGCCTTCGCGTGGGCCTGCAATCGCGTATGATCTGTGGCCGAAAGCGAGAGGAATTTTCGTAACCACCGAGTGCACACCTGATATTTCGAGAGGCGCCTTCTTTTATTCATAAGTACGTGCGATCTCCCGGAATCAAATACGCTCACTAGTCCGTTATTTCGCTCTTCCGGGAGGAGCGGGTCCTTGATCATCGATCGATTTAGCCGCAAGTGGATGTGTGTGATCGTCCTCGACATATTTTATATTCGCCAGACTTTTGGCATACATCTTGTTGCGGTCAATGACACCGCGCACGTTTACTTTTTAATTATTCGGTCGTTTTTGTGCATCAATCGTGTAATTATATGTTAATTACGTCAGTGATTACACATTAATTCTACTATTTTTCCGGGTAACTGTTGCGGAAGTAGCTTTTATAAAATATTTCTTAAATAAACGAAATTATCAACGAATCATCAACGAAATTTTGAATTTCCCTATCTGAAAAGAAATGAAAAAAAAATCTATAAATAAGAAACATTTCGATAAATACTAATAACCCGTTTACTTGTTACTAGTATACATATTTTTATATTGAAAAAAGTTCTTTTCGAATAAGAAAATATATTAGCACCGAATAAATATTTTTTCCTTATTTTTCTAACATTTGTTATCAGTGTAATAATTATGGACACTCTCGTTTTAATTCTTCGAAGAATAAAATAACATATTTGTAAAAGAATAAAAAAACATTTGACACGCGCGCCTTCAATCGTTCACCCATCTTATGTCTGCGTTAATTAAAGTTTGAAGAGGCTCTCGCGATAAGTCGGCCACGTAACTGCGATCTTTTAGCCGAATCTAAACGCACACATGGGCGCGCGCGTGCACGCACGCACACACACCCATGACGCCGATATTGTATAGTTGGCATTTGCAACGCGGGCAAGTTCCGTAGCCTGCAGTAAATCAAAACGAGTTTGACTTCGCACACGCAGTCACTGTCATAAATTAATATCGTAGCTATGAGAGCCCCTTACTTATCGCCACGTGGAGTCACCGACTCGCGATTTCTTTCGCGATTAATAAGCGGAGTGCAATGCACGCTAACAGAAACAGCCGTCTCAGATAATACGATCAACAATTGCCACTTGATCGCCAAGAGTACCGATGCATGCGCCTGATAAAACTCATCAGTTTCCGGTCTGCGTGCACCGATTGCTTTCAATGACGAGCTCTTGGTTATCGTAGCGCACGATTTTATGCCGTCACAGCAGTGAGAGGAGACTTGGCGGATACTTCCTCACACATAAATAACTTTTTGTTTCACATCTGACCAAATAGAATTAATTGAAAGCAATTGCTTTTCAAGTTTCGCTTACCTAGCCTAGTCTCCATCAATAGTCGTTACTTGAAACTTGTCTCAAGATATTCGAATCTAAATTTAGAGGTAGAAGAGAGGTTTTCAATTGAAATGCTGTTACGTGTATAAATGTCGCGTGTATCATAGTTCAATTGCAAAACATATAACATAGTTCAACCGTAACTTGTCTTTAACTCTCAATAAAAAATTGAGTGTCTCATATGATAAGTTTCAGATGACAAATATGAGAAAGATATCCAGAGGAAGAGAGAAAGAAAGAAAGAGAGAGAGAGAGAGAGAGAGAGAGAGAGTAAGCGGCATTCCGTTATAGCACTTAACCAATTTTCGCGGCACTCTTGCTCAGATTTCGTCCAATATCAAAATGTGTATGAGGATATATTAATTATTCATCAATTATTTATTATTAGTTTTCTTTTAAAATCTCCTTATAAAATATTCGACTACATCCACGCACGAACGCCGAAAACAAGTAGAGTTTCCCTTCCCTGTTAACCCTTCGTATATAACGTTGGATCTGTGAGGACCGAACGAATATTCAATCGCTCACAAACTTTCGTAAAGGGTCCGGGAAATGGCATTATCTACCTGAAAAGAGCTTTAGAGTTTCTGGAATGTATATAGGTGGTGCAGTTTGACCGCTTCGAAATAGCCAAGCAGCGGTACGCAGCGGAAATCTTTTTCAGTTCTCTTAGAGTGGGAGATATGTGGAGAGATACTCAGGAGTTTCAAGCAACGACTATTAATACGCACCTTAGGGTTGGATTTCAGTTGAATTGCGACTACAAATATAATGTCACGAATATCACACGATTCAAATGAGAAAAACTCGAAATTTCTTTCAGATCTGAATATCTCACGTGAGACAAATCTCTCAAAGTAAGGTTCGTTGATACGGCTCTCATATTCTGATTGTTACGTATATAGAGGTGACAGTTTTGACGTGAAATCCGGGACTCGTATTATGTTTTACGGTTGCAAAGTCAAGCCCGCGACTTTTCGCGGAAACAGCGCGCTTTTGAAGTCCTACGGAGCACTCGAAAGAGATCTATGCGCATTCTGCGTATTCCTTACACAGAAGATGGAGAGATTGAGATTGGTTTCGCGAGAGTCAAAGACAGGAGATCGCCGAGAAAGCCGGATCGCGCCTTGACGCCGCACCCTGCATGTGCACGCCAACATTTGCATACAGCACGTGCGGATCGACGTGCGAAGCGAAACGCAATCTAACTAGCCGCTTTGCTGTAACCTGTTTAGCATGTGAATGTTCGTTGAATACCTTCCCGCTGAACGTACACATCTGTATCTGCGCCGATTGTGTCTCTGCTCTTCACGCGCGCGAGGCCCTTGTCGATTTTTCTATGTAAACTTCTTTACTGCACGCGCGATAACGTCACATTTGTCACGAGCGACAAATGCGAAGATTTAACGTATAATCGCACGCCACGCACAAAGGACACCTTGTTGAATAATGATAAGGGTCGATACGAGAGATTGTACGGTCTAAAAGGTGAGATAGTCGATCACTCGTGTTCTGCCTCAAATATAGAACTCTGGAGACTGTGAATCGTCGTTAGCCTCTGCAAAGAACGCTCGAATCAGCATAAATGAGAAAAAAAAGAGAGAGAAAGAGAAGAATCATTCGCTCGCACCTCGCATCGACTTCTCGATATCGCGAGCGACTGCGTCGTTCATGATCCAGAATCGAGTAAACAGCCGATGTGACTCCCGACATTCGTTCCTAACGAGGAGCCATTCGACGTATTTGACGATAAACATCTCGTAAGCGGTAAAAACGCACGAGGCTGTTATTATGAATAAATATGACGTGTCAGGCCGTAGAGGCGTGCACGCGCCTGATCTAAGTGTGCCTCGCCATTAATCTAAAGTGAGACAGACGACGACGGCGGCGGCGGCGGCGGCGACAGTTGTTTATGCGGAATTCATGATGTCATAAGGAGATCGCGCGAAGTTGCAGCCTCTCACGTGCGAAAATTCTTCCCGAGAATTACGACCGCGCACGCACCGTGCGGTCTCCTACATGTGTATGCGCACGCGTGTGTGTACGTGCGCGTCGCCTCTCTGATATTTGCTTACTGCTCAATGAGCGAAATTAACGCCACGCGAATGATGAAACAAAGACCGTTAACCAAGGATGTGCCACTTCGCCCGTTGAGTACCGGCCCGAACTTTGAACACGTCTGTCTTCATTTCTATTAATGGACGCCCCGGGAGAGAATACAGAAGCTTCTGAAGGCGCGTCTGTCTCGCTGGCCGATCGAGCGGTTTCTCCAACGGGCCGACGTCGAAATCGCGCATTAATTGCGCGCCTGAAATTTCGCATCCTTCGTCGCGCATTGCCGTTATGCGACTGTCGGATCTTCCGCGGCGATTGTGCCACGTGCGCGACCTCAGCTCGGCCGGATCTTCCGCACGACCTGGCACGTCGCCTCTCGAGTTTGCATTACATAATACATGAAGCCGCGCGGTGTCCACGCGCGTGTTAAAGGGAGCGAAAAAATCACACCTCCAGCGCGATTCCCCTCCTTCTGCTCCTCTCTTCTCCTCTCCTTCTTTTCTTTCCTCCGTCGGTTAATTAGTCGGAAAAACATGCGTTCGAGCGACGTCTGATCGATAATTGATTTAAGTCGGACTACCAGGTGCCACGTCCCAGGATAATCAGGGCGAGTTTAATTTCTGATGAGACTTCTGGACTTCTCACGTCAACTAGAATCAACGTATTGGTCCAAATCCAAGAAATCCTCACAGGAGTCAGTGTTAGGCATTAATCGATGAAAACTTCCTCTTGATTAAAATAATCGGCAAATAAACAGTCGAAATTCATCAATTGTCATATACGTAATCACGAGTAATTTAATCGACCGATGAAAACTACCAGTAATCAATGTATAATCAATCACAAATCAAAGTTTGATTAATAATTTATTGTATCAGTCGATGAAATAATTTGTGGCTTTATACATATGACGATTCATTAATTTCGATTATTTATTTGCCGATTACTTTAGTCAAAGAGAGTTTTCCTCGATTAAGATGAAAATACCAATACCCGGACTCGTACCGGACATTCTTATTGTTTTAGCCTTTAAATAGCCTATGAATATTTAAAGTTCCAACATAAAAAAAATACATATAGTATATATACACATAGATTGTATAGTTGAAAGTATTTAAATATTCATATTTAAAGAAGAAAAGAAAAAATAAGAATGTTCAGGATCCGAGAAATTGGTACTTTTATTTTAATACCCAACACCGGTGTGTTGAACCTTGAGTTTTGTGCATCTTTTCACACAGACATCCAGCCGCGTGGATCCCTGACAGATTCGACGATCGCGCCATTTTCCCGAGCTGCGCTCCTCACAGTTGGATTGCACAAGAAACAACTGGTGATCCTTGAAACCGTCATCGCGCCGCGCAATTTTCGCGGCCGTAAGTGGAGCGATCAGCCTGCTGAACTCGCTTCGTTCAACAATATCCTATATCTTTAACCGGTTGTTAATCGAAAGAGTATCGGTGTGTATGTGTGTGTGTGTGTGTGTTTACACGCGCGCGCGCGTGTTTTTCTTTTCCCTCCCGACGATTTCTCCGGCTGAACGACACGTGGCGTCCCAAGGCGCTGCTCCATGACAGTCGATATTTGCTGACACATATCGATACTAAGCAAAGAGGAAACGTCGCGGAAACGTTTCGCGTGGCGCGCATTTACGCACGTAAGCCCGGTGTGTTATAACACCGCGTTGTTCTTGCGCAATATGTGTATCAGTATCGGGAGAAAAAAAATGCTTGGTAAGCCCACCTCACCACCGTCATGCGACACGTGGAGGACGCGGCATGCAGCGATCTCAGCCGCGTCTCTTCTCCCTCTCGCGGGACTTTCGAGCCGAGGAAGGGCATGATCGATCGATCCTTCGCCTCTCGTGAATACCACCGTTCCGTCGTCACCGTCGTATAGACGGCTTCGGAAATACCTGCATGCTGAATTTCAGACGGCGATTCTTGCATAAGTCGCATAATGCGCATAATGTCGGCGGACCCCGTCGAAGAAGGGTCGCGAATTCCTCTGAAGCCAACGAACCGGCCAATTCGACGCTTGCCGTACTTTCGCGGCTTTATTCGACCATTTCCATGCGACCTGTTTGTTTCGCAAACGAGCGAACGAATGAACATACGCTTTATCATACACGAACGCAAAAGCGTTTGCAAAGCCTTTGCGATTCTTGGCGGGAAAACGAGGAGGTAACCGAATCTTCTTCCCCGAGGATTCGCACTGAATCATTTTGAAACATCGCGATAACTTAGACGGGAATTAACATCGCAAGACGGTAGCGCGTGTCATTCCGCACGGCACTTTCGTCAAAGTCTGGCGTGTCTCGAGGACGAATGCGTGCGAGACGTGCCTGCCTGCACGCCCGGTGCTCTCCTCCGACTCCTCGCAGCAAGGACGACGTCGGCCGACGTTCGACGTCAGGCCAGACAGCGACCGAGGAACGTCATCGCGCTAATTCCTGGCCCGTGGCGCGATAACAAAGAGAGCTTACTTCATCGTGCCGCGACGAATTATCATTTTTGTTTGACGTTCCTTGTTTACGCGAACTCCGCCGAACTCGGCTGTGCCAGAACCGTCTGGCACCGTGCGTGCGAGCGGTTTGCATAAGACTCATCCTGGAGAAACGCAAACGACGCGTGTGCATGAAATTATGTCACCGCTGGCGTCGCACTTGTCGCACACTTTCGCGTCATCGTCGCCGAATTGCTGCGCCGCGACGATGCAGGCCGAATGCGAGTCTCGTTTCTTCTCTCAACGGCCACAGCTGTCACCTGCCTGAACCGACGTCATTCACGCAGGTAACAATCCTTGCGCGTCCTTCTCGCATGTTCGCCTCCGGTAAAATATCCAGCTCGATCCAGCTTCCAACTCATTAATTCAACATCGTATCAATGAATCTGTTTATTCGTCCTGGGCAGTTAATTAACGGAGCGACACGCACGTAGCAATTGCAGTATCGACATTAATATTGCATCAATCGCTTACAGGGTTCCCGTCATAATGACATGCGACATAAAAACCCAGAGAATCACTAGTGTTAACCAAACTGTGCACGTTCGTGATGCGTCATACTCGCACGTGGAGGATTTCAACGAATGGAATGATTCATAGGCGAAACGTAGACTCACGAGTAGACGCCGGACGTTTTTGTTTGTTAATTCTTTCCTTGCCAGTCCCATGTTATGAAAAAAAAAAAAAAAAGAAAAAAAGATTCGCCGACAGCGCGTGAACGGTCGCGAATAAATGCGATAAGGCCCGCCAACAACAACGTCGACATTAACACAAGACTCGATATGCCAGACGATTCGGCAATCGTATTTGTTTTTGCGCACTTGACGGGAGTCAAGGGGCACTTTGTGATTATTTGTTGTTTGTAGAATGGACATTCCTCCGTGATCGGCGAACAAGGAGAGAATTGCGGCCGGTTGAGCCGGCTGCCGTGGATTTATTACGCGACGCAAGCATCGCATAATCACACCTCGTCGACGTAGCATGCACTTGGCGCAACGAACACGTCGACATCGAATTCAAGTATCGATCTAACACAATCGATCGAGCAGGAAGCGTGTATCAGTGACGCGCACTAAAGCTGATAAATCTCTTATGCAATTACTCTATTAATCTGCAGGTTGAGCTCTACTCTATTAATCTGCAGATTCCCGCCTACACATGACTTTTTGCGTTTCCAAACGGGACAAATGATACGAAAAACAGCGGGCAAACAAGTGACGCAAAACGATCGCTTAAATTAATTTTGATAATTATCATCAATCGCTCTTTATGCGGTGGCTGACTACGTGAGAGAGAAAAAAAGACGTTCGTTATGTAAGTATACACGCGACGCAGAAGGTTTATTGTACCGATTCTTTCGTGGAAAAGTTTCAAGGCCTTCCCTGAGGAGCGTTTTTGCGTAAGGTGGGAATCGAAATGAAAAGTAGGAAAAGTCGGAACGCACGAGGTCCTAACAGCAGGATAAAAATAAAGCTGACGGAGGAGGAGCGGGAAGAGTAGTTTTGCGGGTTCTACAAGAGGCAGAGCGAAGAAAGACGAAGATTGGAATTCGGCCTCACAATCTGAGGCATCTCTCGGAGGGGTTGTCGCTCTGAAAGAAACGGTCGACACGTGCAACCCTGTGGTGTCCTTGAGATCCCGAAGGTTCCCACAATTCTTAATAGCTCATCATGCACGGCCGGTGCGTCCAGGGTGAGTCGGAAAAGCCGCGGTGAGGTTGGGACGATCATAAAATCTCCAGTGGAGCTCGTTAGTGGAGCTCGTTTCTCCCGTTGAATATCATCTGTGAATAAATTTATCGCTTTACATTCGCAAAAGTCTGCTCCTTTATGAATCTATTTCTTTCTCGCAACGAGCAAAATATCGGATCTCTATACAAATCGCGAACAACTTCCTTCTCTCTTCTCTCCATAAATCGATTTTATACCAGACAACTCAACCAAACCCAATATGTATCCACTGTGATTAATAATGACATTTTCAAAACAAATAATGACACTTGTTTCCAATTAACAATAACGCGGCTTTTCGACTTTTTTTACAAGATTAATAGAAATACGCTATGTCTCTCCTCGTTGAAAATTATATATATATATATATTTATATATACACATATAAAATACTCTTGAGACCGAATGTGTATTCACGAAACAACGAATCTTGATTTTAAAATTCGTATTGCGCATACGCAAGAAAACGGTCATGCTATCAATATTGTGACTAGATCCAATTTTCAGAAATTTCGAATGTTTTTCTAAATTTTGAGAAAGTTACTAAGGAAACAGAAAAACATTCACTCCAAAAGAGTCTCTCTAGACACACTAGAGAGACATAAAGTTTGGAAAGTAATTTGTATGGCTAAAAGGGGCTTGCTTCTCCTTTCACGCGTCACTCCACTTCAGTCGTGATCACTCGATTGGACGACAATGAAAGGAAAGCTCGAACCGTATTGCCTCTCCCCGTTCGTAAACACGAGCTGCTACTTTTGTTTCATGCGGTTATTTGGTTGAGAATGAGAAAGACAGAAAGAGAGAGAAAAGGGTAGGGAGAGGGGGAGACAGATGTGCCGATGATGAGCGAGTGAAAACAAAATAAAGCAGGAACTCCAACGGCAGGTAGCTTCCTGAGAGCCATGTCGACGGCTGACAACACCTATCCTACCTACCTACCTACTCGTGGGAGTGTGTCAGAATCGGGTGAAACGCTTCTCTCGCATGCGACCCTCGCGCATAAACAAGATGACGCGACGAAAACCGTGCGGGAATCTCAAGAAGGCTTACCTATGCATTTGCATTTTTTATACTTCGCGGCGAACGAACAGGTGTACGACCTTGGAGTACGATGGCGTCAAGAGATAGATGACTCGATAATATTATCGGAAATATTTCGCGTGTCGCACGTGAATTATGTACGCTTCGCGTATAATCTCCGAATCGATTAACTATTATACACGTTTCATCTGCCACTTAGAACATGAACGTGTTTATAAAGAAATTTTTAGATTCGAAGGCGAACGTGTTCAATGTTTGACCTTTATCAAAGCGGAAAAGAGTTACAAATATGATTTGTTGCGGAGACGACTGCGTTACACCACATTCGTAAAGATATATTATCGCGAGTGGACAGAAAAGCGAGACGTCTCTCCTCTCTGTCATTCTCTGATTGTTTCTCGATGTTCCTCGGAACTCGGTAGATTATTTACATATCCGATTGGCATAGCGCCTCTCGAAAAATCCAACATGTTCCCCAGAGTAACCCAGACAGGCACACTTGCAGCAGCAGATTTTGCACAGTAAATCTGCTGTAAATTTTGTTAGCAAAAGTACAACGAAAGATCTCTATCAGCAGACTATAATGGCAGATCGACAGTAAAAACCGCGAACAAAGTCTATTGTTCTGTAACCATTCAATCATATTTAAATGGAACATGTTGCAGATCCTGCGCGACGCCTGCCGCCGATCTGCTGTCAAGTTACGCCAGCAAATCTGTCGACAACACACGAGTTCAGTCTGATCGAATCCGTTGCTAATCTGCCAGCTAACATCTTGTTTATTGGAAATTTTGCCAGTTTTATGCTCGAGCCTGCTCGTGCTACAAAAGAGACTCATTAGAGACATTGAATTCGCGAAGGAGCCGCCACGAATGTCCGAAATGCGTAGGTGAAGCAATTGGACGTTAGACGAGGTCTAGGCTGTACACGTGTCGGGTCTTGACATTGCACTCGGAAGACCACCAGCCCTTGTTCCCCGCTTTCACCTGCGTTCAACCGTTCGACCGTCCGGAAACGGCCGATCGGACCCTGAAAGGATCTCCTACCAACACGAATCGCCGGCCCCCTTTCCCCTCTCCTAGGAGAGTGGCGCAACGGCGTCCGTCGTTAGAAAAGTGGTGGTGCACGTGGAGACGCGGCGAGATTATCGCAAGCCCGACACGTGGCGGCCTTGACTTTGTCCCGTCGTCATCGCCATCGACGTGTCGTGTTTAGTCGCGCGTTATTATTCATACAATAAAGTTATTTATCGGCACACAAATGCACATATTCGACATTTATCGTTTGGCGCTGAACGCGACGACGCGTCTTTTTCTTCAGAGAGAAGAAGAAGTGATTCGATTTCCCAATCAATTATTTTGATCTAACGATTGCTTGTAACGTTGCTCTCAGAAATTGGATTCAGAATCGAGTGCCATTTTGCACAGCCATTTTGATCTATTATATGACATATGTGACATCAAGTCTATAATCGCGATTCAATTGAAGAACTCTCATCTAATTTTCAACTCAAATCTAAGTATATCTAATTGAGAGGAGTTTCAAGTAACAACTATTAATATGAGTCTAAATCACACATAAATGGTACGCGATGATGCGTGATAAATATTCATTTCTTTAAGATTTTCTATACACACACACACACACACACACACACACACACATGCACAAAGATAAAAAAACGTTAAAAAATGTTCTAAAAATTGCGTGCAGTTTTGTTACTTAATTTTCGTTGCTATCGCGTTGTTGAATCTAGCACGTTGTTGAAGCGCGCGGAATTTTTTAGAAATATAGTATCCGTTTCCTCGTCACACGATAGTATTGCAATACTTTTTTATCTTATCTTCGATAAGAAAAGTCACGCGAGACATCCACGCGCAATTCTGTCACCGGGCTCTCGCAAGCACACGTGCACACGTGGTCGCGCATTCAGCGCTAAATGCGAAACAGCGTGAATGCGAAACAGCGTGGGCCCCGGAACCCTCTCTCTTTCTCACAGTATCCGATCCGAGTGTCGGTTTACGGCATTTGACAATGTCTAGACGTAGCGGCCGAGAGTAATCTCGAGAACGAGCAGACGAATCTGCCCGCAGCGAGTAATATCCTGTGTGTATGTGTGTGGGGGGCGCGTAAGGGGGACTTACACGTGGACCCAGGATCGGCACGTGTACGACCTTCACATTGACCTCGACGAGACGATCGTCCACCCTAAGGGACGGGGGTCGCGGCGGTATCGTCGGGCCCGGTGATTCATTATTTCGTACATTTCTTAAGGGAAGACAAATCACTTCCTTCGTGGAGGCTTTCGTGACTGAGATTATATCTTTCGAGCCCGAAAGTATTAATGCACGGGGGAGACCCTGGAGGATGTATGAGCGCGTTTTTGACCATATCCACACGAGGTAAGAAAATTACAGTTATGGATGTAGTTTTCTTTCGTCCCGACTATGCGCTCGCGGCCTCCTGGTCGTTTCCGACTGTACCGTCGGATGCAACGAGAAAAATAATTCTATAATTTATAATATATTATTTCGATATTATTTCATTCTCGTACTCACTATGTATAATGCAATCTTGTGACGATTGTAAATTATCGCTATTACATTCGAGAGAAAGCGGAAAAGTTTATTGAAGAAAAAGTTCACTATTTACGCGTACGCCAGAGTCCTCAGGAACGCGCGATAATCGTCGCTACAACAGCAATTCGCGATCAGCCGATGCTCTCTGCAACTGTTGGCGTGCAAAAATCTGCAATCCGCCAATCTGCATTGATAAGGTAAGTCATGTTGGTGAGAATCGCAACAGCAGGCGTCGTGGAACATTTTCTCGCCGCAGTAAGGATAAATCGAACTGTCACAAAGAGGACATCTGCAATGAAAGAAATTGAAAAAAGATATTAGATGGCACGCGTCATTATTTCGATTCTCATATTTTTGTATTTTCCATCGAGTTTGATTCGTGATGAGCAAAACACATCGATCCTAACGCTTGATACGTCAACGACAAGTAATTTACTTCGTTGCATGGCAGGCGTTTTCCTGATTGACGAGAATAAACATTAAGTATGTGTGATAAACTTACTTTTGCGGTCTATACCTGTGTGCGAACGAAGGATAAGGATAATCTTCTAAAAACTGCCGACCTTCGTTCCGCGGCAAAGGCGTTAACGGTTCATTCGTCGCTCCTACCGCTCCCGATGCACGATCGCCCGTCACTTCTCCGTGTTTGTCTGGAAAACATTTGCAAGGAGACCGTCGTTACTGAAGTATTGCCGACATTTTCTGGCCGTTAAGTTTTGTAGGAAATATAATAAAAATTGCACTATCAACAGCGACGTAGTCACAGATTTGATTTGAAATTATAAGATATAACGATTCTTTTGTTAACTAATTATTTTTAAAATATATATCAATTTTTATATAAATATATATGTATCAAACGACGTATATATTTTATATAAAAATTATAGCATGTATCCAGTATGTATAGTCCAAAAATATATAGCTGTTATTATCGTTTAATCGTAATATCCCTTATTGTGCGACTGTATTATTAAACTGTGGTATGATCTTATTGACAGGTCTTCGATCGTAGTTTTATGATCCCAATTAACTTTTATCTTTACTGTAAATATAAAAGTTACGAAATATTTACCGAATAACACATATTATGCAAGTCTGTTTTCGTTCACACGATAAAAATTATAAAAAACTTATCTTGCATTATCGAGTTCATTGACAAGCACGTGATTCAGCTTTTGTGCGGCGCGTAAGAGAAAGCAGACGTTTATTTATTCGAATACGCAATCAAAATGAACGAATGCACTCGACTCACCGGATGCACCGGACGCGCAGCAATGCGACAGAACAACGGCGCCGAGCAGTACCATCAGAAGCGACATTTTCCCAAGGAAAACCAGCGGAAGGACTATTGAAAGATCGATGCGCGCACTCGCTCTCGACACGACTGGAATTTTTCGTAGCTCGAAACGAGATCTCTCGTGGCTTCAATCTCTTTCGTAGATCCACGCGGCATTTATTCACTGGCCTCACCTTCCGCGTAGAACGCGGTCGACGTACCCGTTACTTGTAACTGGTCGACGAACATCCTTCTCTTCTTATGCGCCGGCGAGCCGAAGAAAAGAAAAAAAGTGCCGCGACACATGGATATGAATTTGGAATTTTTAGTAGCGCAAAGAAATGCGATCGTTTCTATCGCTATTTCGCGAAAACTATTACAAAAAAATACACGATTCGAATAAAAAACCAGCTGATTATATGTATTTGCGCAAATTGGAAAAAACGACATTCCTCATAAAAAAATTATGAATTTATTTAAATCTCGTACAAAATTGATTTTCTTTCTCAATTTTGTAAACACATCTGATAGATCTGACCATGAATCTGATCGCGACGTTTTACACGTCGCGCGAAAAGATTTTTTGTCAAAATACATTTATTTATTTATTAAAGAAAATACTCCTTTGAGGCAAGAAAACAACAAGTAAAATAAAGTAGAATGAAATAAAATCTTGTGACACATAAGTAAAAATAAAAATAAAGTCAACTGCAATAAATGAGAAGAAACAAAAATGCACTGAAATAATATGTCATGGACTGAAGAACATATATTGTAGATACGCGAAAGTCGCATCATATAGCACTTTACAACAATAAGATGCAAGTGATTACGTACAAAGTAACAAGTGCGCCAAGGTCCGATTGAATTTTAAGGTAATCCTGTAAGAACTCTGTCTTCGAAATACGCATGTTAATTCGAAACTAGAATTGTGTTCGTTGAATTAAGGAATGTAGGTCAGTGCGAGGCGGATCAGCTAGAAAGTCGCGAAGATCATTTCGCATAGGTGTAGTTGATCATTCATCTAATCACTCGATGACGTGGCATTCTTTCTTTCGCGAACTTAGTCAATTGCACTCTATCATATTCAGGGTAATTGACGCGATTTGTATCACCGTGGCGACGCGTCGTTCGATCACGTCTGCGTGTTATATCGCGCGCCTGTATTATACCAATTAATTAATAAAGAAGCTCACCGCCGCAGGTATGTATCTCTTGTTTACGCGAGTGCAGTAAATGATGTCGTAACGGCAATTAGGCCCTGAGACAATGGATCGCGTGCCACTAATAATCCAGTGCCGTCTCATGTTATGGCGAAACGTTCAGTTTCCAAGAAAGAACGGCCGGTTGCCTCCCATTTTTGCGATGAAAAAATAATTTATTAAATCAATCGATACTGTACAAAGCATTTGGTGTTGCGAGTGTAGTTTTAGGTCATCAGCAGGTGCAAACCAAGCACCGTTAGGATTGACAGGAACTTCGTGAGGCCCGCGCCAGAGCGCAATCCTGCGCCAGTCGCCCGATATTTCCCTGCGAAAACGAAAATAAATCATTGATATCTCGTCGTTCTCTCTCTCTCTCTCTCTCTCTC